TAGCTTTATTTTAGTTGTATTTCTTGTATTGAGCACACAATATTGTATTGGCTTTTGTTTTCTGAGAAAATCTAAAAATCTTCAGTCCATTTATATTATTGGTATGACTGGTATATGATTGGTTTTTAATTCTGTCATCCTGCTTCGTTCTATTTATTATGTGTAATGTTTTATTTGCAGTCTTCATGTGATCTCTTTTCTTTGCTTTTTATTTAGGAAATTTTGTATTTTTGTTCTGCTGGTAACATTTTTTAATACCCTTAGCTCCAGTAGGCATCTAGAATTTGTTTGCTGTGAAAGACACCCATTACCTATGTGCCAATCACTGAGCCTGTTCTAAATTTTCCCCTTTGTCCAGTGATATGTGTGTGGGAGGACAGGGTTCAGTTATTTGTACTTTTGGGGAACAGATGTTGGGAAGATCTGTTTTGGGAACAGATTCTGTCTCTTTTTGTTTGTTTTTTGTCTTAGATCTATAATAAAACATATTCCATGGCACCACCATCAGCATTTTTACTTATGTTCCCTAGTTATCTCATAGATGGAAGCCAGTGTGATATTCCTTAAGTTCTTGCTTCTATCGCTGGTATTTAATGGTTGGCTTGGCTGGTTGTGTAATATTTGGCTCACACTGTTTTTCCCTTGAGCTTGTTCAGAAATGTTCCCTATTGTTTTGCTTTGTATGTTGTCTTGCTTTGTATGTTGCTGTTGACGTCTGGTTGAAGTTAACCTGATTTTCTTAATTTTGTAAGTGACTTTGCCTGGAAGCCTGGAGCTTTTCTTTATAAAATATAATAGTTTTATTATATGTGTTTTACAGTAGACCATTCTGAGTCCGTTTTCCAGTACGTGGTAGGCCCTTTTGGTATTTTGATTCAGTTCTTCTTTTGTTTCCATAAAATTTTCTGAAAGTGTAGTTTTAAGTATTGTTTCAATGTTTTGATATATTTTACTTCCCTTTTCAGGGACTCCAGTTACATGGATTTTGGCTCTTTGCTTATCCTCTCTATCACTTTTTCTTAGATCCTTTTCCCTCCCTTGTTTCATTTCCATTCTTGTGGGTGTTTTTATTTTTCTCCTCAGTGTCAGTAGAATCTGTTCTCCCTGTAGGTGTGTTCTAGCCAAGATTTTATTTCTGAGATGATTTGGTCTTTTTCTTTCTTTCCTTCTAGAATTTCTAGAATTTGAAACGAGTTCATAGTCTTATTTTTTTGTGCATGTAAGGAAGGAAGAACTTCACCTTTTTTCTCTACTCCCCTGGGTTCTCCAGCTGGGGCTCTACAAATTAGACAGAATATAGACTAACAAGAATAAATAGTGTATTGAACATGTACAGTGATGGGTAACTCAAAGGGGTGATTGGAACTTGGGCTTATAGCATCTTAAAGAACAGTGCATTTGTAGAGAAGTGTCAAGACAAAAGGTTTTAGGCTTCCAAGAAGCAGCAGACTGGGGAACAAAGGAGTGAGGTTTGTTTGTGCAAGCCCATCTCCGTATCAACTTTCCATCTGCTTCACGACCATAAAACTTTTCCAGGAGAGGGGATTTATGGCAGTCCCCATTTCTTAGAAGTTTCTGCATTTAGTCAAATAGGGGAAGCTCTGAGAAAGTGTCTTTCTGTATCTGCTATTCTCATTTTCCTCCATTCTCATTTTCCTTATGCCAAAGTAGTTTATTTTGAGGTGGCATATTCTGTTCCCCTGAATGCTCTTGCATTCTGAGTTTTGAATTTCTGAACTGTGGTATAGTTTCATATCTATAAATGATTGTTTAATAATATTTAAGTTATATGGAATTGTTTGCCTTGGGGTAGTTTGGGGGAAACATTTTTGTCAGCTGCAGAGTTTTTATTCTTGGAACATTGTAGCTTTGTATGGATGCTGCTTACCTTTTTTGTTTAGTGTTGGAGTTTCTTGGTCTCATAACAATGTGTTTCTGTGATGAAAGATGAGGGGGTTTGGGTGGTTTCACAGGTTTCTTAGTTTGAACGCTCTCTTCTGTTGATACCATTAAGGACTTTTTTTGATGACAAGTATAAGGGAGGGGTGAGTAGGGGCTTGGTGTGACTCCCAGTGCTGTGACACCCCTTTGTTTTCTAAGACTCTTATCTTCCACCACTTGCTGTCTTTCCCTTCACGACTAAGCTTCCATAGATCTGCCCCTGCCTCCCCCAGAAGCAGGGCCACCTCTAGCCAAGTTCCCCTCTAGTTCCCCAGGCCCAGTGCTCCAGCCCTCTAGGTCTCCACCTGGCTTCCATGTTCCCTCACTCTTGTGCAGCCCTTCCTTGCTGCTGGACCCTGCCTCATCCCCTCATGTCCATGCATTTCCTCCTGTCGTCCAGCAGGAGCAGTGTCACTGGCTCTGCTAGTTGGGGGTTTTTATTTCTCCAGTCTATTATTTCTTCATCTTGTTGAATTCTCTCTCCTAATTTTGCTGTTGGCACGGATTACAGGTGGTTGTATCTGCTCCTTGTTGATGTGTCTGGGTTTGGAGGATGTTAGGACAAGTTGGTATTTAGTCACTAACCACGATCCTGTAGAATTTACAGGTCTCATCAGTGTTTCTTCCAGATTGAGATTCAGTTTGAAGATTGAATTTTTATAAAGATTGAGATTAAATGTAAAAACTCATGGCAAGTCATGTTGTGCATGTCATTTCTGAGTTTATCCAATAATTACTGTTGTTCGTTTTCTTGTATATTTAAGTATCTTGATTTGTTTTATTAATAGGTCCAAATATACATTCTCTCCTGTGTAAGAAAGGTGACTCTCCATACCAAGTCCAGGCACTGGGACTGTTACCAAAATCAAAACCAACTTTCTTTGCTCTACATGTTCTCGCAAACTTCATTTCAGGAAATGACACTTTTGTCAGACATTCCTTAAATGTCTCAGATTGTTTTCTGTGTCTAAGAATCTATGATTATTTTTAAAGTGAAAAGTTCTCAGAAAATGGAATCCAGAGGCCAAGACAGGGCACTGAGGCTGCATCAGTGTTGATGGTGTGGTCCTCATGCCCAGCTTCTGCTGGCTGCTCTGGTGGAATTTCTCTGAGGCCCTGGAGGGCCTGCCTGCTCTGTGCTGGCAGGACCTATCTAATAAATGACAGTGTTCCTATAGCCTGACTTTGTCCAAAACTGTGTCCTTGTCACTACTCCTCCTATTACTGTTTGTGAAAAAACAAATGACCTTGATCTAATGGTTTTATAGACATTTTTGGTATAAGAGTTCAAGGTAGCTTGATGAAGAGCTTCTCCCTGCTGCAGACCTCTACTCTCTGCATCGCATGAAAGAAGTTGGACTGTTTAGAAATATATTAAACTTAGCAGTTAATTAATCTTGAAAGGGTTGTGTTTATCTAGGAAAACAAGTTTTTAGAATCTAGAGATTATAGAAATGAAGTGCAGATGAAAATAAGTTGCTTATGGAAGGTAAAAAATAGAATAAATAGTTCTATGTGGCTGTGATGTTGTGATATAATAGGAAGTATATATTTGTTCTTCATCCCTGGTTCCTGACACAGTAAAGCCCTTGTGGGATCCTGAGTGGTGAGGGTGAGAGAAGCATTTCCTGTATGATAATAAGCCTCTTTCAACCATACTGTAGTGTATGCTAATGAGGTGACTGTTGGTGGGTTCCCAGTTGGCTTCAGGATGGGGGCTGGTTGTCACAGGAGCCAACCATATGATTAGAGGGTTGGAACTTTCAGCCTCACCCCTAAGCCTCCCAGGAGGGGAGAGGGGTTGGGGACTGAGTTAATCACCAGTGGCCAGTGATCAGTCATGCCTGTGTATGGAACCTTAACAGAACTCTAAATGATGGGTTTGGAAAACTTCTGAGGTGGTGAGCATGTGGAGGTGGTGAGCATGTGGCGCCCCTGGAGCTGGTGTGGACGCCCCTTGCACTCCCTACCTATATACCTCCCTGGATACATCTCTTCCATTTAGCTGCTTCTGAGTTACATCATTTGTGATCATAAATAGTTTCCCTGAGTTCTGTGAGTTCTACCAAATTAATCAGATTGAAGAGGGGGTTGTGGGAACCCCTGATTTGTAGCCAAGTTAGAGATATGAGTACTTTGAGGACTCACTGCTTGAGATTGGTGTCTGAAGTGGGGGCAGTCTTGTGGGACTAGGCCCTTAACCTGTGGGGTCTGCACTGACTGGGTAGTGTCACAATTGAATTGAATTGTAGGACACCCAGCTGGTGGCTGCAGAGAACTAGAAAATTGCTTGGTGTGGAAAATGCTGCAGGTTTGATGTCAGAAGTGTTGTGAGTAGAGAAACAGTGTTTCTATTAATGGTAGAGATATTTTAAACAGATTCCTAATTTTCCTCTCCTTTTCTGGATGCTTTCTGTATTTGCTTATTGTTTCGAATGATATATGGGAACGCTATCAAAAAACTGCACTATGGATAGTTTCTTCCATCCAGACTCTGAGAAGTCAGCATTATTATTGAGGCCTGTGTGCCAAGCCCTGTGGTAGTGTCTGTCCTCAGTCAGCCTATAGGCTAAAGTAATGTTGCTCATAGTGAAAATAAGGAGCTGTCCTGTTTGTGGGGCTTCTCCCTGTTTGTAGTCCTTTGGTGTAGTTTGACATCCCTTCAGCATACTCTGATGATAGGATTAGATTTTGTCTCTAATTCTGCTTTCACATTATCACAGCACTGTCAGTTATCACCTTTTATGATACTTTTACTCAGGTATTTTGTGATTTTAGAAGCAGCTTTATTTGTACCTCAGCAGTTGCCTCCTTTGCTTTTGGGTAGGTCTCAGGATGTGTGTGCCATTAGTCCTCATGATTCTACTTTAACGTCCCCCTCTTCCCACCCACAGTCTTAGAAGAGGATGTACTATAGTTGCCAGTGTTTTGTGGTGCTCTGAAATAGTTCTTACACAGGATGAGGAAAAATCAAGACTTTAGATTATTCGAGGATTAATTGGTTTTTAAAAAATCAGTGATTTGTCTGCATGTAGATATTATTGGAGCTCTTTGAAATAATGGGATGTAATTTCCCAGTCTGGCTTCTTCTCCCTCTCCTCCCACCTCCCCAGCATCTGAATGGGAACAGACAGGATGGGATTGCTGCTCTGCAGTTCACCAGGGGGACATGTCATGGCTCTGACCACATCTTTTCAGTGGAACATGGAAGGTGGGATGAGTACTCTCAGATCTTTTCCAGCCCTGAAGTTAAATATTGTTTCTTCAGCATTCTGATCTCCTCTTGGGCAAGAACATTCTTTTCTTAGCCTTTCTGACATTTACTGATCTCAGTGAATGTCTCCTGAATAAGCATAATCAAGAAGAGGAGGGAGTCAGCCTTGCTCGTAGAATTGAGGGGTGGTGGGGTCATCTGGGGCTGCATGGTGGAGAGGATGGAGGTGATGGTGGTGGTGGTAGAAGTGGTGGTGGTGGTGATGATGATGAAGGTGGTGGTGGTGGTGGTAGAGGTGTCGGTAATGGTAGTGGTGAAGGTAGAGGTGGTGAAGGTGATTGATGATGGTATAGGTGGTGGTGGTGGTGGTGGTGATGGAGGTGTTGGTAATGGTGGTGGTGATGGTAGTGGAGGTGTTGGTAATAGTGATGATGGTGGTGGAGGTGGTGAAGGTGATAGATGATAGTGGTGGAGGGAATGGTAGTGGTGGTAGTGGTTCTTATCCAGCTAGTCACTGTTTTCTTTCATGGTAGAGAAAGCATTTTCTTCAAATTCAGGATAGGATAATCTCCAAAAATAGTTAAGTTTGTCTCAAGTTAGCTTTTCTTCTTGTCAGTTCAGTGCCATGTACTTAAATTATATCACTTCATAATGTAGATCCTCTCATAGAAACTTGTTTCTCTTTTCAAGGATCTTATACCTCATTTATAGAGGCCTCGGATAACAATCATTCGAATTATTTGAATGTGAATTCTGAATGTTTGTCCTTAAAACTTATAAAATTTAACTTTCACATGCATAGAACACAGTAGGCATTTGGAGTGATTTCAGAAGTACATTTTTCATGAATTCTTAAAGTTATGTTGTGTTTATGACAAGTGAGTTTCTCTGGTGCTTTGAAAATGAGTATACTTCTTGTGATTCTGTTTTAGAAGAGGTGAGGGTCTTAAGTCTTCATTAAAAAATACATTCATTATTTATATAATGATCACTGAATTTGACATCAGGTGTCAGCTCCACCACTGACTTTAGCTGGATGACCTTGGGCCAGCCATTGACCTCCAGGTACAATTTTCTCTTCTGTCAAGTGAGTTAGCATCTTTAATGGTGGTTGTAATAAAGAAAATGACATAACATATGTGGAAATATCCAGCATAAACCCTAGCATAATGTAGGTGTTCTATTATTCCTAGCTGAATCTGTCTCTGAAAATAATAGGATAAAGTACATTTTAATTAAGCTGGTTTTATTTGAAAACCTTTAATAAGAATGATTGAACTATAATTACAGTGCAAGATTCCTGGTATGCTTTAGAAAAATAAGACAAGAAAGTGGTAAGTCTTTGTTAACTCCAAGGAGCTGTGGCTAAAGATTGAAAACTTAGGTTAGGAATTTTCCATTAGGATAATTAGCTAATTGGTTTTTTTTATGCAGATTTGAAGTTGAGAAAAAGGAACATGAGGGTGTGATTAAAGGAAAGCTTTGCTTATTCTGACACCACATTTTTGGTGTGGCTTGTCACCATCCTGTCATTTGCCGTGTGACATAGCTGCCAAAGTTTTTTTTGTTTGTTTGTTTTTTCCTTTTTTTGTTGGGGGAAGGGAGTGGTGCAACTTTAAATATAATTCACATACCATGTGATTCACCCGTTTAAAGTGTCCAGATAGCTGTGTAACTATCCTAACAGTACATTTTAGAATATCATCACCGCCACAAAAAAACAAAAAAAAACTCTATCCTCCTTGCCCCTCCTCCTTTTTCTCCAACACTGTAGGCAACCTGTTTACTGTCTCTATAGATTTGCCTATCCTAGATATCCTACAATATGCTCATGTGTAACTGGCTTCTCTCACTTAGCATGATGTTTTCAAGGTTTATTGATATATCAGTACTTCATTCCTTTTTATTGTCCAATATCCATTCCATGTATAGACCACATTTTATTTATCTTTTCTTCAGTAGATGGACATTTAGGTTGTTTCCACTGTTTGGCAGTTATGAATAATGCTGCTGTGAGCGTTTATGTTTGTATACAAGTTTTTGTGTGGACATAGTGTTTTTATTTCTCTTGGGTGTATACCAAGGAGCAGAGTTGCTGTCTCATACAGTAACTATGTTTAACCTTTCGAGAAACTGCCAAATTAACAGTGGCTGTGCCATGTTATATTAGTACCAGCTGTATAGGAGGGTCCAGTTTCTACACATCCTCCCTAACATTTATTCTTATCTGTCTTTTGATTCTAGTCATCCTAGTGGGTGTGAAATGGGATCTCATTTGTGGTTTTGACTTGCATTTCCCTGGTGGCTAATGATGTTGAGCATCTTTTCATGTGCTTATTGGTTATTTGTGTGTCATCTTTGAAGAAATGTCTAATAGATTCTTCACCTATTTTTTAATTGAGTTACTAGTCTTTTTTATTTTTGAGTTGTGTTGTTTACATATTTCAGATACAAGTCCGTTATCAAGGCAGATCCCTTATTTGTACAAATATTCCCAAAAGTTTTTATGCCTTCAGTACATCAATCTAGTTACAATAATCATCCTGATTGAGTACCTACTCTGGGTCAGACCCTGCAAGGGCAACTATATATGGATTTTTTCTTTTGATCTTTATAATAACCCACAAGTATTATAGCGTCCGGATGGCTCAGTTGTTTAAGCGTCCAACTTCGGCTCAGGTCATGATCTCACGTCTCATGGGTTCAAGCCCCCCATCAGGCTCTGTGCTTACAGCTCAGAGCCTGGAGCCTGCTTCAGATTCTGTGTCTCCCTACCTCTCTCTGCCCCTACCCCACTCATGCTTGTTCTCTCTCTCTCTCTCTCTCTCTCTTCTCTCTCTCTCAAAAATAAACATTAAAAATTAAAAAAGATAATAACCCACAAGTATAGATCATATTATCCACTGTTTACACATGCAACAATGGAGGCCCAAAGAAGTTAAAGAACTAGACTGGGGTAAGACAGTTAGTAGTTACTGCCTAAGGTGTGAGTCACACTTGGGCCTTAGTGTACTGCTCTGGGACACGTATTGACACAGAGCTATCTGTGTCCTTCTGTGGAAGCACAGAGCCTGTTCAAGTTTCTGGCGTATGCGTATGTGCTCACTCTTGTTTAGATTGTGCCACTCTCTAAGGGTCAGCCTTGACCTCCCCTGTCTCCTAGTCCTTATGTCCTAAACCACTCGCACAGAGTGCTTTGTCTTCATTCTCTGGTTATTTATGTTTTCAATGTAGATAGACGAGGTAGAGACATCATTTATAGAGGGTCCTTAGTTTAGCTAAGAACAAGGTTGAATTAGAAAACCCTGGTGCAAGTTACAGAGGATTAGTTTTGCCTTTATGTGAGAAGAAATGTCTGAGCAGCTAGAGCTTTCCCTGAGTGGGATCAGCTGTCTACTGAAGAACTTTCTGGAACAGTATGTATTCCAGTAGCAATAGAGTTTCTTCCTCTCAGGATGTTGTAAAATACATTTACACATGGGGTGAGCAGCTGGACCCTGAGGCCCCTTCTGTGTTGGAGAAAGGAACATTCCCTGCCAGAGCTGATAATATAGCAGTCAAACAACATGGCACTTTCTTTTATGGCTCCGGCTTCAACTTGTTATTGTTGTTGTTGTTTTGTTTGCTTGTTTGTTTTTGAATAAGCATAGTGCTAAACTCTTCCAAATTAACAGGGTAAAAAATGTATCCTTCAAATTTAATCCCATTTGAATAATATACTTCTTATTTCTCTACCTCATCCAAAACTACAATTTCCATGCATGAAAAGGACTCTGGTTAAGGTTGTAGGCTCTGAGATCAGCCAGATATGTATTTGAGTCTCAGTTCTGTGACATTCTTGTTGTGTGACCTTGCATTAGTTACTTTTGTGCCTCCGTTTCCTGATTTGGAAAATAGGGATAATAAGAGCGTACCATTTGAGCAACTGTTAAAATTCTAGACTACTTGGCTGGCACATAGTAAGCATTCATTAAATGCTTATTATTTAAGGGAGGGTGAATTGGAGATGTGGATGGTTGCTACAGTAAAACTTAACCTCATTTTTAAATTTTTCTCAGAGGAAACACAAAAATAGAAGAGGCTTGTGAAATGTATACCAGAGCTGCAAATATGTTCAAGATGGCAAAAAATTGGAGTGGTATGTATAAAGTTTTTGTTTCGCTTTTCAGGCAAATAACTTTAAAATCATCTTGAAGGAGGAAATAACTGTCTGCATTTCCTCCTGTTGGCTGAGACGTGTGTGTGCTGAATAACTGGTGTGGCCACCATGGTGTGGGAGAAAAGAACTTCGATCTAAGTGAACAAAGCCTATTTTTCTTTACTTACACATTGGTTGAGAATTTCTTACTGTGAGAACAGCTCTGTGGTAGCTGATTGAGGTTCCATTGAGAAATGTGACAGTCAAGGTGTTATTTTTATAAACCCCAACAGATTTACTATCACTTTTTAACATAATGCTTTCTATCCAGTGAAATTACACATAACAAAATCAGTGGAATTATTTTATTGGTCTGAAAGGGGATAACCCTTTATAACACTGATTTGGGAAACAAATTCATCCCCTACCCTTGTGCACAAAGAGGGCTTGTTGTCTCTGTGATAGGGTATTTCTTTAGTGAAAATAGAGACAACCTTCACCTGGAGCCAGGGACATTGTTGTCTAGCCCTGGCCTGTAGCTGCTGCTTGATCTAAAGTAGGACCCTTACACTCTGCAAGTCCATTTCCCCATCTGCTTTTTCCCTAGCTTTATTGAGATATAACTGACATAGAACATTGTCTAAGGTTAGGGTGTATGTACAGTGTGTTCAAATCAACCCATTAAGGCTGACATTTTAAAAGCATTTCAATGAAGAAATTGCTATAGAAATATATGAATGTGAAAGCCCTTTCTGACTGTAAAATTCTTTTATAGGTTTAGTTTTAGGTTAAAAGGATATATTTCCAAAATGCATTACACCTGAATTATAATGTATTAAAAACAGTGGAGGAGAAAGGAGTATTGTCTCAGTATTTGTATCTCTTGCATGGTGTAAGGGTGTGGTCTAAGGATAGATTTGCATGTACTAATGAGAGTGGCCAGCATGTGAAAAACTGGAGCCAGCCAGTACAGTGAAGCACTATAATTGGGAGGTCCATGTTGTAACTGTACTCTCCTGAGGCAGAGCACATCAAGGCTGCCATTCAGTTAGCCGCTACCGAGGCACTCCCCTGGCAGCATCAGCCTTGACCCCTTCTCCGGGACCCCTGACCCCATAATCCACAGTGTAAGAGTTAAAGCCTGGTAGGTGGGGGCTCTCCAGTCCCAGCTCCAGCTGGGGGCCAGCATCCTAATTGCTCAGCCCCTGTGCCATGTAATGGCTGAGTATTTTCAAAACTGCCTGGGCACTCTTTTTGTCTTACACAGAGCCAGAATTGAACCTGGGCAGGCTGGATCAGGAGTATGTACTGCTACTCTTCCCTCTGGTGGAAGTGCAAAAACCTGAGTAGGAATTGTGTGGTTACCTCTGGAAGAGGGGTCAGGACAAGGGATGACAGCCAAAGCTTTAGTTGAATTGAATGCTTTATTTCTTAGTACCAGCAGTGGGTATTTTGGTGTCTCCCACAATTTTCTGTACTTCTCTGAATGTTTTTGAAATGGCTACAAATAGTATATTTTTTTAAGTACTAAAAGGTCTCATGATGTTTTTAAAAGAATCATCATGTTTTTCCTTGTAGAGGGAATTCTTTCCCCTCCATTCCTATTAGTGCTGACTTCCCTATTCCACACCTTACTGAGCTGTGTTCTCCACGGGCCTCATGTTTTCCAGTCTGTGGTAGTTCTCTCTGAGCCAAGAACCTCATGACAGTGGGGGTTTATCCTTGTCCAGGTTCCTCATGCTGACATTTAAAGCCTCCCAGAACTGGCCCAATGGCATCTTCAGCCTTCATCTCTCCTGCCCACTACATTTATCCCTCCTGCAGGCAGCATGGACTTGTCACCAGCCTCTGTTCCCAGCCTTTTCTTGCCTTCAAACATTTGTTCCTTGTTCACATGACTGCTCTGCTGTGGATTCCTTCCCTCATTCTTTTCTGCCCCTCTAGAGTCTACAGTCCCTGATCAAAACCTTTTCTGAAAAATTTAAGTGCATAAATCTTTACACTGTACCTCGTCCCAACAGAAACCTCAGCAGCACCTTGTAACCAATCCCACTGTATAACCAAACCTGCAGGGAATGTGCAAGTTGTCCACACTAAGTGGGAGTTAAAGTCAGGTTAAACCTCATATAAAGTTCAGTCAGATTTTGTTATAATTTAAGAAGAAACTTTGAGTTTTGAAATTGTGGACCTAACATTCACTCTTGAGATACTTACTTTGTTCAAGGAGCTTCCATTAGCAGTTTCTTCAGTGATGACAGCCAAGGCCAGTGGACACTATGAGATAGAAAGATGAGCAAATAAGTGTCCTTGACCTCAGTGTTTTAGCTTTCTTTAAACGTGTGTGGCTTGAAGCCCCAGTCACTGTTTAGTATATGCTGGGGGACAGAGTTGAACATGACTGGCTTTGGTACTAAATGGAGGCCCATCACCGAGGTGCCACTTGGGAGGTCTTCTGGGGCTGAGAGAGGCTTTTGTCACCGGTTGAACTTGTTTCTGTTTTTTTATACACACCTGAGAGGCACTTGATCACATTTACACATCCTTCTGACTGCAACGCTTCTTTTCAGTGACATGGAACTTTTCTAGGAGTAGGTGCAGCACTTAGAGCATGGGCCACTCTGGGGACACTTGCTCCTCTGTGATTAATTGTAGTGACTTGTCTTCCTCAGCTGCAGGAAATGCATTTTGTCAGGCAGCCAAGCTCCACATGCAGCTTCAGAGCAAGCATGATTCTGCCACCAGCTTTGTGGATGCTGGGAATGCTTACAAAAAGGCAGACCCTCAAGGTAAGACATGCCTCCACCTCTGCGTACCCAGGGCCATCGGATCAATGTTGGGGGCCTTCTCTCAGGTTATGCTGCTGGACCTTTGAGTCCTGTAAAAAAGAAATGTTTGTGCTTTGGGATAATAGAGATTTTAGTACCTTCAGGGTTTTTTCTATAATCACTTTGAGCTTTTACAAGGAGAAATTATGTTCAATTTGTCATAATACCTATTTTCTTAAACTCCATTCACGGTGCATTTTGGAGAATGTTTTGGAAATTAGCTTTAATTTTATCTACATCTTATTATTATCTTAATTTTATGAATATATATTACTCATTAAATAAAAGTAATGGTCCTTCACTCCTAAATACCTGGTACATTTTAAGATCCAGTTAATGGGAGATTGTAATATCTGATAGTTAAAAACAACTTATTCACACAGTATTCATCTGACTTTTTTAAAAGTACTGGTTTTTCAAGTACTGGTTTTGAAGAAATAATGAACTTGGGTATTTAAAATGGCAAAAGTTTACAAATGTTATTTCTTTTTTAGTTAAGAGTATACACTTAGCAATTAAAAGCATTAACGTCTTCCCTGTGGCACATGCACTGGTGGCTGTGGAGCCTCCGTATTTTTCTTTTAGCAGTGCACTTTAGCACAGAAATCTCAGCTTTTATGAATGTATCATTGAGAACTAAGATACTTCAAGGTTTTTGTATAAAGATTAATTGCATTCTGTTTCTGAACGTGAAAAACTGGACACAGCCTAAATGAACAACAAGGGTGGAATAATAAAATTATAATGCATCAGTATTCCAGGATATGATGCAGGCATTAAAGTCCCTGGATTCAGAGCATCTCCAATGACCTGGTAAATGTCCACATGGTAACCAAAGAACCACACAAGAATTGAGGTCTCAAATTTATTAAAAAATTTGTGCACATGGAAATGCATCCAGAAAACACTGGAAGGAAAAGTACATCAAAATACTAGCAGTGGGTTTGAGTGGCATTGTGGGTAGCTTACTTTTCTATATTTTTAGAGGTGTAACAATTCACATTTCTTACATAGCTTGGGAAGAAATTGCTTTTAATTTTGTTACTCTGTGTTACATTTCTACTTTTCAGTCAGGCCTTTTCTCTTTGCTTACCTCCTTTAAAGCAAGAACAATAAACTTGGAGCTGTCATCTGTATGCTAGCATTATAAGCACCACCACTTTGTGACAGGAAATTTGTTGGCTCAGTGTTTTAGAAAATTAATAGAATTTATTAGCAGTATCACTTACTAGATTTCTTTTTCATACCCCAAAAGTTAGCATCTTTTAACATTGTACAAAATGCTGACTTCACCTAAGAGTTGTGTGAACAGGTATTTTCAAAGTGCTTTTGATATTGGCTGCATGAAGAGTTGAGTCTATTGAAGTGATCTTCCTTGTGAAGGACTGTCTTCCAGAATTCATATATATACATGATATCAGTGAAGAATGCATTTACACATCTGTTTTAGCAGCTAGAGCTGATCAGTGTTGATGACAGCCCCCATGGCTTTGTCTGCTCTTTAATGCGGGCTTCACCCTGGCTGGGTCCTCACTGTCTGGCTGAGACAACTGAGCCAGTCCACCCCCCCAGCTACAGTTCCCTACTTGGCACTGAACCTGCTGGGGACTGAGCATACTGTGGGGTCTGGCCTTGTGTGATTTCTGCTTGCTTTTCACTAACTCACCTGCGTACCCTCCACCCCAAGTGCAACCTCCTTAACATTCTAGTAACAGCCAAGAAGATAGGCTCCCCAGAACCCTCTTTGACTGAATGGATTTTTCATTGTTTTTCTTAAATGCCTTCGCTTCAGAGGCTATCAACTGCTTAAATGCAGCCATCGACATTTACACAGACATGGTAAGACCCTGCCTTGCGTGAGCGGCTGTGGGGTGGAGTCCTGGAGATGGCTTACAGTTGTACTTTTCTGTTGTTTTTTGCTTCCCAAAGTGTTTGGCTTTCAAAAAGGTGAAAGCAGAATGGGACTCTGTTTTTTGTTTTTCCCGCAGGGAAGGTTTACGATTGCAGCCAAGCACCACATCACCATTGCAGAGATCTATGAGACTGAACTCGTGGACATCGAGAAGGTGAGCTAGGGCAGTGTACACCACAGGTGGGTGTGAGGCAGGTAGACAACATGACTTGACTCAGGGAGCCCTCGCCCTTCCAGTGGAGCTGAGTGGTGCAGAACTATCGAGATTGCTTCATTGTAGAGATGGGGGACCTGGCGGGCTAAGGTCTAGATAGGCTTCTCTTCAGGGACCTGAGAACTGGGTAAGATTTACCAAGCCTGCCCGCTCTCTCTGCTCTGGGTGATTTGTGTCAGGATGGTGGTGTTTCCAGAAGTCTTCCTTTGGGCTTCAGGAAGGAAGCTTTGGGACTGCAGGGGTGTGCTCACCTTTATAATTTAGGCCCTGACCTGGAGGAAGAAGGGAACTGAACACTGGCCTAGCCATACCTCTGTTTCACATGGGGCTGGTTTTCTGAGCTGTGGTTTATAGCAGCAAAAGAAGAGAAGAGGAAACACTGAGCACCACTCTTTCCCAGTCTCTGTCGTTGCTTGCATGCTGTGAAATTTTACCACTTTTTAGCTCTTATAGCACAGAGGCCCCTTTATGGATGTGGAAGTTAGGGCTCGAAAGGACTGAGCTGCCTGGAACCACTCAGATTGGATCCAGCAGAGCTGATGCAAAGCCGGCCCCAGCACAGGGCTTCATCCTTTATCACCCTGTCTTCTCAGTCACAGGATCACCTGCAGGGCTCAGGGCACCTTGGCAAGAGGAAGACATTTGTCAGATCCCGAGACTCCGTCAGCTCAGACTGGAGACACAAGTTTATGTAACACCGTCCTGAGTACTGTGGGAAACCAGAGTTGTGAGTGAGAAAGAAAAGCGACAGTGGAGGCCAGTGGTTCCTGTCAGGCTGATGAGCACCTGGCATGCTCTTGGGGTTACAGTTCTGTCCTATCTGAATGGTCAGGGCACTCCCTGAGCCCCATGCAGCATCAGACGGGCATCCTTCTTCCTCTTTTATTTCATGCCGTCTCTCTGCTTCTGGAACAGGTGACTGATGGTGCCTCCTCTTCTCCGCATACTCTAGTGTGGGGCACCTTGGGGCTAACTCCTTGTCTTCTCTCTCCACATTGCTCTCTTGGTGCTCTCTCTGCACTCATCGTCACTGCTTTCCAGACTGTCTGCCAGTGGCTCACAAGTCTATCTGCAGCCCAGACCTCCCTCCACACCTCAGATCCCTGTATCCTCCTGTCTGCCAACCATCACTGCCAGTCCAGTGTGTCTGAGACAGGATTCCGATCCCACCCCACCCCCCCCCCCCACTGTGATATTCCCCCTCCGAACCACAGGCATCCTCTTTTTCTCCACATCCAGTCTGTGGGCGATTTCTACAGTGTTGTCCTCTAAGCTCCCAAGTCCCCGCCCCCTCACTACCTCCTTGTGCCCCCAGCTTTCACTGGGTCACTGCAGGAGCCTCTAAACTGGCCTTCCTGTTTCTGCTCCTGCTTGAGTTCTGAGCCCTGGGCATAAGGTCCCCATCACCCTTTCCTTTTGGATTCACTCTCTTCTCTGCTTTTGTGCATTTTCTCAGGGAAAGGGGGGCTTTATACTAAGAAATAGCAATGTTGACTAAAATCCTAATGGAGCATCAAGGAGGTAGGTGTAGTATGGCAGCCACTTGGAAGTTAGCAAGACAGGTACTGTTGCCAACATATGAGAACTTTTCTCCTGGTGTGAAATAATAATTTCATATATATTACACTGGTTTTTGTCAATAGTAATGTCCCCCCTCCCACCAGTGTAACAGAACAGCCAGAGCAATCCTCATCTAAAGTAGATCAGATTGTGTCTTCACTGCTTACAACCTGATGTTACCCCATCTTCACTCAGAGGAATAGCCAGAGCCTTCAGATGGCCTCCGAGGCTCCACTGATTCATCCTTCACCCTTGTGCCTCTCTGAACTCTCTTCTTGCTCTTCCCTACCTTCTTCCCCCGAGCTATATACCATGCTGTGGCCTCCATGACCTCTTTGCTGATCCTCACACATGCCAGATGAGCTCCTGCCTCAAGACTTTTGCACTGTGTTTCCTCTGTCCTTGGGGCTCTTCCACAGATGTCCACATGGCTTACTCCCCTTTGTCCTTCAAATTTTTGCTTAATTTGTTGCCTTTTCTATGAGACCTATCATGACCGCTTAGTTAAAATTGGAACCCCATCTTGTCACGAATACATACCCAAACACCTCCCCCAACTCAGCTTTTTCTTTTTATTGCAGTGCACATGTCACCTTATGTCATATGCTACAAATGCTTACTCATCATTCCTGTTATTCATTGTCTTTCCCTACACTAGAGTGGGCACCCCATGTCAGCACGGAGCTTTGCCTCTTGTTTACTGATGAATCCCAAGAACCCAGAACTCTATGTACTTAGTAGACTCTGACACCCCTATCTCTGCCATAGCAATGTACCTGCCAAAGCACATAGAATCTTCGTTTGGGGAGGTGTCTCTGACTACTAAAGTTGGACTGGAATTGTTAACCTTCACCCTCTGACTTCATGCTGATCACCACCTTGTGGTTATGTAGCACAAAACTCACTGTGACTTATTTAATAGAATTCGTGATTTGGCCATTTTGTCATATATGCCATGGTTTTCTAAGGGTGCTCCAATCTTGACTAAATCAGAGCCACTGACTGCATTGCATGTGGCCCTTCTCATCAGAGAGGTTATCTGCAGACCCTGGAGAGGATGGGGAGACCCAGACCTGAGCCCTTCTGTGCTCCCTGCTGCAGAATTGGTGATGGAACAGAAAGGAGATGGGTCTGGTGTGGCTGGGATATTTATTTTTCAGGGTGTCTCGGGTGGGCACAGTATCTTCACCAAGGTTGAATCATCTTAGGGGGACAAGCACTCATGCAGACCATCTTTCCAGTGGAGGCTCCTTCGTTGGCTTCACCCAGGGTGGTCAGGAGAGTACGCTGGAGACAGGAGCCTGCAGCACTGTGCCGTCTCTGCTGCCAGGGCATGCTCTCGAGCAACTACTTCACACATGGGTCTCCGTTTGTGAAATTCAGGGTGGATAAAATGATCTGTAGTGTTCTCTTGTTTTCTTTCTTTTAAAAAAAAATGTGTTTTGTCAGCTTCTGAATCCCCCCAGAACTCATGGTGCTCCTGCCATTCTGCAAGTTGGCCAGCAGGTGGCATCTCCCTACACTAATGTGACATGCCCTTTTAAAAGCAGTTTAAGAACCCTACTCAGCATGGGGCACTTGGGTGACTCAGTGGGTTAAGTGTCCAACTTCAGCTCAGGTCATGATCTCATGGCTTGTGAATTCAAGCCCTGCGTTGGGCTCTGTGCTGACCGCTCAAAGCCTGGAGCCTGTTTTGGATTCTGTGTCTCCCTGTCTCTCTGCCCCTCCCCTACTCATGCTCTGTCTCTCTCAAAAATAAATAAACATTAAAAAAAAAAAAAAAAAGAATATTACTCAGCACACAGAGGGTTACCTTGCATATTCCCTGATGTTTGGTTTCCTGTGTTTAGAAATCATTACCCTTGCTTCCTTGGTTGGACTCACCAGATTATGGTCAGTACTTGAAATTTAAGTTTGAAAATCAGTTCTATTAAGGTACCTTACATTTTATTTATTACAAATGAATTTCTTCTCTGTTAATATAAGCCACTGTATGTTCTATAAGTCGTGCACAGACTTTAGCTAGTGACCAATGAAGTGTGTGAAGTTTCAAAGGCTCACATTATTCCTTTGATTTCATGAAATAAAACATTAAACAAACTAATAAATGGGTCCTTTTCAAATGGGCTTTTAAATGACCCAGAGGAATTGTGACCATTTCTGTTTCAGCCCCTGGAGAACATGATTTAATACTATTGGTTACCATGTAGGATGTGCCTATGGCAAGTTCATGTCCTGTCTGGAGGTATATATTCTAAAAGAGTTGATCCCATCTGAAGGTTAAGTTGACCTATAAAGTGGACTCTTAAGCTTGAGATGTGGAAATTGCATTTGCTTTAAGACTGATGAGGACTGCAGTCCTAAAGAGTGTTGTCTCTCATTTCAGGATTCATGTATTTTCCAGCATTGTGACCTTCACCAGATTCCCCAAAAAAGAATATGAATGTAGTTCCTTTGGTGGGCTACTTAAATAACAGGATAACAGGATGATTTTGTGTCTGGGTTTATAGTTATGTGTGCAGTTATTATTGCTGGCTGTCTTCTACTTTTGATATTTATCATGGTCTGTTAAATTGTAAAAAACAGTGGGTAATTTTATAAGGTGCGAGGGTCTACTTGTGACTGGTAAATTTCACTGCATGTTAAAGCTCCAAACTAGGTGTGAACATCCAATGATAACCTGTGCCAACCTCTTTTCTCTGAAACTTCTCTGTTAAGCCACTAGATAAGATTTGCTTTCAACTATAACCTCTGTCAAAACTTGGAAGTATTATAAAGTTTCATTATTGGCTTAATTAGCACTATTAAAAACTAAGCTTTAAATTTATTTTTACTGTGATGACTCTAGCTGTAGTTTACAGTTACATTTTGATGAACCAGCATCATTACTTAATAAGTATTAGGTTAAACCAAATTGTCCATATTTGGCCACTTATTTTTACCTCAAAACCGCAGTTACATACAGTTAACCCAATACTGTTCATTGAGTTCTGGTGTTGTGAGAACTAGAAAGATAAGTAGTGAGAGTCCCCACCCCCACCCCCTGGCCCCACTCCCTGAGGTTATATCATCTGACACTCTTTAGTAAAGATTCAGTCACATTTCTCATACTTTACCCCATCTGTTACAATGGAAAACTGTGTTAAATACTTTTAGAGAGCGTGGGAACAGTTCAAAGAAGATTACTTTCGATTAATTAGGAATTGACTGAAACACTTTCTGGGCATTCCAGATTAAGATATTGGCAGTAGTTTAGTAGGGGGCTATCACTTGAAATGCAGTCTGCCTTTACTCACTTAGCATCTGTTTATTGAGCACCTACTATATGATCAACACTCTGCTAGGTTCAGCGACATAATGGTGACACCTGCCCTTACAGAGCTTACATTTTAGAGGGAGAACATATATATTCATCACATCATCCCACACATTTGTGTATGTGACAGCTCTGATAAGTGTGCAGGGAATCTATTCCAGATGGTTTCCCTATGTGTCTATGTATGTGTGAAAAGAGGACTGCAATGTATCTGTTCTTTCATGGCTGTTTGTTAATTTAATATTACATGGAGAACTTTCCGTATTGATACTTTCTGTCATTATTCTTAATCTTAGCATAGTAGTTTATTATATTTAACCATTTACATTGTTTCCAGTTTTGCCCCTGTTATAAATAATACTCAGAAGATTTGTTTGGGGAGTATATTAGTTAGGGTAGGCTGACCAAATGAACCCAAAACATAATTATTCAAGCCCAGAAGTGTCAGTTTTTCACAAACCGTCCATGATGCTCTGTAGTCCAGACATGGCTAATGTTGGCCTCAGAGGTAAACAAATTTTGTAAACCAAATCAGTGTTGGTCTTGATCATTACACTAGTACCTGCAAGAAGGTGGGGGCTGAGGCTTTATGGCCAGGTCTTTCTGCTTCCAGTCAGCTCCCAGGAACCACAGCTAGAGTGATCTTTAACATAGTTCCCTAGCCTGTTTGTTGTTTTCTTGTCTTTGTGCCTCTCTGTTCAGTCATTGGGTAGGACTTCCTTGAAGCTATGGGCTTAGTGGGAAGGGAGCACCTGTAGTCTGATACCAGCCATCTTTCTCTTTATGGCTTACTGGGAAAACCTTGAAATTTAAGGCAGAGGTCTACAAACCCACCACCTGTTTGTGTATACCCAAGTTAAGAGTAGTTTTCATGTTTTTTAATCATTAGTCAGAAAACAGCACTTCACAACATGTAAAAACCATGTGAAATTAAAATTGTCCATAAATAAAGCTTTTGGAACATAGACACACTCATTTGTTTACTGTTTGTGGCTGCTTTTGTGGTACCGCAGAACTAAGTTGTTGCAATACATCATATGACTCACAAAGCCTAAAATATTTATAACCCGGGCTGTTACAGAAAAGTTTGCCAGGCCCCTAGTTTAAACTGTTCAGACTTCTCTTTTGCCATTTGGGGTATAGAAGCCATTGGCCTTTCCAGTTGTATGAGGCCCTATCACTGGACTTTGTTTTCTTTCATAATTGCCTACAAAACAAGCTAATTATTTCCAGAGTTCTCTCTTACAAAGCTTTGCTGAAAACAGCAATACACACTATTATCTGTCTCTTTCCATACAGCTTCTTCCTGTAGAGTTTCTGGATCCAGTAGGGATGTGTTCTGCCTTCTGAGCTGTCATATGCTTGATTTCACTAACTGTTATGCCACAGCGTGACAAGGGCTTCTAGCTTTCCAGCTTAAAACCTCTGTTTCCTCTCCACTTGACTGTTAATTCATCACCACACATTTTAGATTGAAGGCAACACTATTATTCTAGATGACACTTAAGGTATTGATGAGGAAAGTCTATGCTGCTGAGGCAAGCTGTAGACCTAAAATGTAATAGGGCTTTGTGTGTCTCTAAAATAACCATCCCGCGTAGCTGTTCCGGTTTTGGCAGCAGTGGGTACATGGTGATTGAGGTACATTCTGCCCTTTGTAGTTATTTTGGAACAAGGTGGACAGTTCTGCCATCTTCGATTTGTGGCTTCCACTGTCACTCCAAACTTGGTCATTGCCATTCTAGCTCATTGAAAGGGATGAGGCCTGAAGAAGAATACATGTTCAGGTGGATGAGGCAAGCCTTGTAGAGGCCCACAGCATGTCTCTTTACATTCTATTGGAAACAGCAGGTCACAGCTGCCTGGAACTGCAAGTAGGGGCTGGAGAAATAGTGTAGCTGGGCATTTGCCTTGGAGGAAGGGAAGAAGAAAGTTTGGTGGACAGTGAGTATTCCGGATATGCATGCTATATTCTATTCCTCAATTAAAGGAGGCCAAGTTATGAAAGGTGTGCTGTTGAAATAGGTTTAGCTATAGGAATAATACCTATGCAGTTGTAATTCTTAAACGTAGTTCTTCAGACAAGTTAATTTGGGTAAAATACATTTGTGTTTTTCAGGCTATCGCACATTATGAACAATCAGCTGATTATTACAAAGGGGAAGAATCCAACAGGCAAGTGTTGTTTTTCTTAATATAATTAAATGGGTTTTGTTATGTGTGGTAAAAGAAAAACCTTCACCATACTCTGTGAGCATATCGGGCTGTACCAAATGAGGGTGTACTGGAATACGTTTCCATTTTTCCATTGGATTGTTACTTGCTCTGCTCTGGTTCTTGATTGCAGTTCAGCTAACAAGTGTCTGCTGAAAGTGGCAGCATATGCCGCCCAGCTGGAGCAGTACCAGAAAGCCATCGAGATCTACGAGCAGGTGAGGCTGCCGCAGTCTTGCCGACTTACAGTGGAAGTCACTCTGAGTCTTTTTTTTTAATTAAACTTTATTTAATTTTCCTTTTTATCAAGATATAATTTGGGGCGCCTGGGTGGCTCAGTCGGTTGGGCGTCCGACTTCGGCTCAGGTCATGATCTCACGGTCTGTGAATTCGAGCCCCACATCGGGCTCTGTGCTGACAGCTCAGAGCCTGCAGCCTGCTTCAGATTCTGTGTCTCCCTCTCTCTCTGACCTTCCCCTGTTCATGCTCTGTCTCTCTCTGTCTCAAAAATGAATAAATGTTAAAAAAAAATTAAAAAAAAAAAAGATATAATTCACACATCATATAATTCATCCTGGTAAAGAATACAAGTCAGTAGGTTTTAGTATATTCACAAAGTTGTGTAACCATCACCAGTACCTAATTCCAAATCATTTTCATCATCCCCCAGAAGACATTCCTATATCCCCTTCTCTTGGTCTCTGAAACCACTCTCTACTTTCTGTCTCAGTGGACTTGTTTATTCTAGGCCTTCTAGGAAATGTGGCCTTTTGTGACTGGCTTCTTTTGCTTAGCATAGTTTTTTCAAGGTTCTTCTTAAAACCTTGAAACACGTTTGTTTTAGCGTGTAATGATACTTTTCATAGCTGAGTAATATTCTGTGGTTAGTTTACCTGTTTATCACTTAATGAACATTTGAGCTTTTTTCACTTGAACTATTATGAATAATTCTGCTCTGAAAACTTGTATTCATGTTTTTGTGGCGGTATGTTTGCCGTTCCCTTGGTTGTATATATACCTAGGATTGGGATTGCTGGTTTATGAAGCAAGTCTGTTTCTACCTTTTTTTTTTTTGAGAGAGAGCGTGCAGACGAGAGAGGGGCAGAGAGAGATGGGGAGACAGAATGCCAAACAGGTTCCATGCTGTCAGCACAGAGCCCGATGCAGGGCTCCATCTCACAAATTGTGAGATCATGACGTGGGCCAAAACCAAGAGTCAGACACTTAACCAGCTGAGCCACGCAGGTGCCCCTGTTTTTAACTTTTTGAGGAACTGCCAAACTTTTCCACAGTGACTGCACCAGTTTACGTTCCCACCAGCAATGTGCACGGGTTCCAGTTGCTCTACATCCTCACCAATGCCTTCTGGTTTCTGGGTTTTTGATAATAGCTACCCTAATGAGCATGAAGTCACACTTCATTGTGGTTTTGGTTTCCATTACCCTGATGGTTAGTGATGTTGAGACCCTTTTCATGTGCTTGTTGGCCATTTTTTTTAATGTTTATTTATTTATTTTGAGAGACAGGCTGAGAGCATGAGTGGGGGAGGAACAGAGAGAGAGACACACAGAATCCGAAGCAGGCTCCAGGCTCTGAGCTGTCAGCACAGAGCTCAATGCAGGACTCGAACCCACAAGCCGTGAGATCATGACCTGAGCTGAAGTCAGACGCTTAGCCATCTGAGCCACCCAGGCACCCCAGCTTGTTGGCCATTTGTCTATCTTCATTGGAGAAATGTTGGTTCAGTTCCTTTACCTGATTTTGAGTTGGGTTGTATTACATTTTAGAAATTCTTTATATATTTTCTCCCATTCTGTGGATTGCTTTTTTTACTCTGTTGTTGGTGTCCTCTGATACGTAGTTTTTAACTTTGATGAAATCCAGTTTCTCTGTTTTTTTGTTGTTACCTGTGTTTTTCACATCATATTCAAGAAGTCATTGCCAAACCTAGGGTCCTGAAAGCTTCTCCCCTGTTTTGTTGTAAGAGTTTTATAATTGGAGGTCTTCTGTTTAGGTCTTTCATTATGGGTATATAGTGTTTTGTGTATAGTGTTAGGTAAGGGTCCACCTTCATTCTTTTGCTTGTGGATATTCAGTTTTCCCAGCAGTGTTTGTTGAATATACTGTTCTTTTGCCATTGAATATAGTCTTGGACCCCTCACTGGAAATTATTTAACGGATATTCTATTTGACCATCTCTTCTATCCCATTGGCCTTATATGTCTGTCTTTCTGCCAGTATCAATCACACTGTTTTGATTATGTAGTTTTGAAATCAGGAACTGTGAGTCCTCCAGCTTTTTTTCTTGCTTTTTTTCAAGATTGTTTTAGCTATTCAGGGACCCTAGCATTTCCATATGAATTTTAGGATCAACTTATCTGTGCTAAAAAGCCAGCTGGAATTTGATGGGGATTGCATTGAATCTGTAGACCAATTTGGAAAGTATTGACATCTTAACATCATTAAATCTTCCAAACTCTGAATACAGGGTGCCTTTTCATGTATTTAGATCTTCTTTAATTTTGTTCAATAATATTTTATAGTTTTTAAAAAGTGCGCAAGCCTTGCGCTTCTTTAGTTACATATACTGCTAAGTATATTATTCTTTTTGATGCTGTTGTAAATGGAATTGTTTTCTCTGTTTCCTTTCAGATTGTTAATTGCTAGTTTTATTTTTATTTATTTGCTAGTTTTATATACTGCCACCTTACTGAACTAGTTTATTAACTCTAGTGGGTTTGGGGTTTTTGTTTATTTGTTTGTTTGTTTTGATTTCTTTTTAGAAAATCATGTATTCATGTCATCCACAGATAGCTATAGTTTTACCTGTTTTCAAATCTGGATGCCTTTTACTTCATTTTCTTGTTAGTTACCCTGGCTAGACCCTCCTGAACAATGGTAAATAAGTAGCAAGAGCACACATCCTTGTCTTATTCCCATTTTAGACAGAAAGCTTTTCGTCTTCCATCATTAAATAATATGTTAGCTGTAAGTCTTCTGCAGATACCCTCTATTAGTTTGAGGAAGTTCCCTTCTCTTCCTAGTTTGTTGAGTGTTTTTATCCTCAAAGCATATTGGGTTTTGTCAAGTGCTTTTTTTCTGTTTCTGTTGAAATGATCATATGGTTTTTGTTCTTTATTAGTGTGGTGTATTTTATTGGTGGATTTTCATGTTTTGAACCAACCTTACATTCCTGGGATAAATCCTGCTTGATTATTGCAAAGTTTGGGGGTCTTCAAGGGCACCTTCAGGTTTGATAATTCTCTAGAAGGACCCATAGGACTCAGTGAAAGCTATTATGCCACAGTTATGGTTTATTATACCAGAAGGATACAGATTAAAATCAGTGAAAGAAAGAGGTGCTTAGGAGCAGGGTCCGGGAGAGTTGCAAGTGTGGAACTTCCTATTGTCCTTCCCCAGTGGAGTACTTCCCCCAGCAACAATGTGTGAAAATATGCATGGAGCATTACCAACAGGGGAAGAAGTTCACCTGCGCTTGGCATCTAGAATTTTTATTGTGGCTCATAGACATGGCTGATCTTATTCTCCAGTCCCTCCATATGTTGAGCTGAACCACATTGTCAGAGACACTCAGGTAAACAAAAATACTCTTCAGGTAGGACATTCCAAGCAAGGGCTTAGAGATGACTTCCCAGGAGCCACAGACAAAAGCAAGACCTCACTTTGGACAAAATTAATTTTTTACTGTATAGTCATAATGTGTAAGCCTTTTTAAAGTTGTCAGAGTTCGTTTGCTAGTATTTTGTGGAGGATTTTCAATCTGTATTCTTTAATTTTCTTGTGAGATCTTTGATTTTGGCAGGAAAGTAATACTGGCCTCATGGAATGAGTTGGGAAATATTTTCCCGTCTCTGGAAGAATTTGTGAGGGATTGATGTCCTCTCTTTAAACATTTGGTAGAATTCAGTGATTTTCTCTGTTTTTCTGTTTTCAATTTCTTTGATTTCTAATGCTATTATTTCATCCTCCTAACTGTCTTTAGATTTATTTTGTTCTTCCTTTTTTAGGGAGTTGAGGTGGAAGCTGAGCTTACTGATTTTCCTCTTTGTTGTGTATACATGTTGAGTGCTATCCGTTTCCCCTCTAAACAATGCTTTGTGTCTCACAATTCTGTTAAATTGTTTTATTTATTTCATTGTATTTATTGATTTCCGTGGATTATTTAGAAATGTTTTGGTTAATTACCAAGTGTTTGGAGATTTTCCTGTTTATCTTTCTGTTGATTTCTAGTTTGATTCCATTGTAGCTGGAGAACACACTCTGTGTGATTTCAATTCTTACCAATTTGTTAAAGTTGTTTTATGGCTCAGAACATGGTCTAACTTGGCATTTGTTCCGTGGTTCTGCTGTTGCTTGGTGGCATGTTCTGTAATGTTGATTAGACTTTCTTGGTTGATGGCGTTGTTGAGTTTTTCTGTATACTCTATTTCTGTCCATTGTTGAGAATGGAGTGTTGGAGTCTCCAACTGTGATTGTGGATTTGTCTCTCTTCTTTCATTTCTGTCAGTCTTTGCTTCGCATATTTTGCAGCTCTGTTTGCTGCATACATGGTTAGGATTGCCATGTTTTTTTGGTACGTTGATACTCTTATCATTTTATAATGTCTTCCTCTGTTTCTGTTAATTTTCTTTGCTCTGAAGGCTACTTTACCTAATATTAATATAGCCTCCAGCTTGCTTTTGGTTAATGTCTATATGAGATAGCTTTTCCCATCTTTTTCATTCAGCCTGCCTATATTACCGTAATTAATCTAGTGAGTTTCTTGTGGACAGCATGTAGTTATGCCATGCTTTTTAATCTACTCTACTAATGTCTGTCTTTTAATTGGTTTACTTGGAGCATTCACATTTAATGTAATTTTTGATATATCAGGACTTAAGTCTGCCATTTTATTTATTACTTTCTATTTATGCTCTGTTTTTTGTTTTTTTTTTTTTTTTTTTTTTTTTTGTTTTCTTTGTCCTGCCATAACTTATAGTGGGTTGCTTGATTATAGTGTTTTCAAGTAAATGTCTTTGAGTAGCTGTTTTTAGTGATTGTTCTAGGTATACCATGTACAGAATTTATCACAAGCTAATGGTACCATCATTTTTATTATTTCCAGTGAAATATAGAAACCTTCCTTTCTGTCCCTTTCTCCTCTTCATTCAATTTATAATTTTCTCTCCATACTTTGAGAACTACCTCAGTCAATGATATAATTTTTACCTAAACTGTCCAACATAATTTAAAAAACCCAAGAAGACAGGAAAAGCCCATTGTATTACCCATATTTTGCTTACTATGTTCTTTCTTTCTTCTGATGTTCTAAGATTACTTCTTTCATTTTTTCCTTTGCATTTAAAGAACAGATACCGTTTTGCCATTTTTTTTAGGTCAGGTTTACTGGTGACAAATTCTCTTAGTGTTCCTTCGTCTGTGAATGTTTTCATTTCCCCTTTATTCTTGAAGCATCTTTTCCCAGGGTATACAGCTCTGGGTTGACAATTGATTTCTTTAGTACCTGAAAAATGTGCCACTTACGACTTCTGAGAAGTCTGCTGTCGTTCAAGTTGTTTTTCTCCTGTAGATAAGGTATCATTTTTTTCTGGCTGCTTTTAACATTTTGTCCTTGGCTTCAGTTTTTCAGAATTTTATTCAGCTTGGCCCGGGTATTTTTGCTTTCATCCTGTTTGGGTTTCACTAACCGTCTTGAGTCTGTAAGTTTATGTTTCTTGCCACATTTAGGAAGTTTCAGCCATTATTTCTTCAAGTACTTTTTCAGCCCCTCTCTCTGTTCTCTTCTCCCAGGACTCGGACAACTTGAGTATTAGACTTTGTTTTATAGTCTGATAGTCCCGGATACTCTGTTCATTTGTTTTTTTTTTGTTTGTTTTTTTTTTTTGTTTTTTTTTTCAATCTGTCTGCTCTCTGTTGTTGAAACTGAGTAATTTCTGATTACTAATTTCTGTCATTAGTTCACTGATTCTTCTTTTCCATGTATCCTGCTGTTGAGCCTATCCACTTTTTATACTGGTTATTGTGTTTTTCAGTTCTGAAATTTCTACTTTTTTTTTTTTTTTAATATCTTATGGATTTTTTTTTTCTGCTAGAAATTTCTTTTTCTTTGTTGATGCTTTCTGTTTTATCTTTAGTTTTAAGCATTATTTTGTAATTGCTGCTTGAAGCATTTTTATTAGGGCTCCTTTTAAATCTTTGTTGTGTAATTCTAACAATTCTATCCCCTCAAAGCTGTCATCTTTTGGTTGTTGTTTTCCATTCAGGTTAATATCTCCTTTTTTGGTGTTGTGAGTGAGTTACTGTTGACAACTGGACTGGAACCTATTTAAACCTTTCCTCTCAGCTAATGTCCTGTGACCCTGCTCTGGTTGCAGTAGGGGCCTGTCGCTTCACTGCCGCTGGCTGGAGCTTGAAGCTCAGCCCCCACTCGGCCTCCATTAATGTCTGGGCCCTCACTACTGTTGCTGGGTGGAGGCGGCCACCAATACTATATTGGGGTTGCTCTGCCAGGTGGCGGTGGAAGTTTTAAGCCTCCATAGGCCTCTTCTGACATCTCACCTGCTGGGAGATGGGGGATGACCCCTCCCTCCTTCCTACTGGGTGGAAGTGAGGCCCAGGCTCCCCAGGAGGTCTCCAGGTCTCCACTGCCTGGAAGCAGGGGTGAAGGATGGGCCACTACTAGCTGGTGGGGATGAAGGCTTGGTTCCCTACTGGGCCTTTGTGAAGCCACCTAGGCAGGGGGCAGGGCTTTGGGGATCTCCCTTGCAGTCTCAGAAGGATGGACATCTTAGCTATGTCTGGGGTCTTTGCTGAAGTGAGTGGGGGTGGAGCCACAGTTTTCTGTGGTATTTGGAGTAGAGCAGTAACTTCCTAAACTTTTCTGTCTTGCTAGGCTCCCCCTTTCCTGGTCTTTCAGCTAGACAAAGCAAACTTCTGTATATTCTCTCTCTCTCTCTCTCTCTCTCTCTCTCTCTCTCTCTCGTTGCTGCATCTAGTGTGGCATTTATGGGTTGCTAACTTTTTGTTCCAAGTCCAGGATCTATGAAAGAAAAAGAAAACCCAGGGAACCCGTGCTGTGTTGTCCGCGTGTCTCCTCCTTTCAGTCTCCTTGTGTTGGTTTTATATAAAATGGGGCTTTTAGTTGCACTTAGCCGGAGGGATGGAGAAAAATAATGTCTATTTCGTCTTCCTGAAAGTAATAGTCTTCTGGGTCATTTTTAACAGGTTAGCACTTTATGTATTAAATTCCATTTCTTGTCTAGTAGAATTTCCTAGTGTGTGATACTGGGTTAAAAGGATGTATCTATGGCTAAACTGATGTAAGTAAGATAAAACAAGTGTCTTCTAAAGGGCAGATGAGGATCAGTTTGCCTAATAGGAAGGCAAACCTTTGAAATCTAATTCTGCTTTCTGTGCCTAGGTTGGGGCAAACACTATGGATAATCCTTTGTTGAAGTACAGTGCAAAGGACTACTTCTTTAAAGCAGCCCTCTGTCACTTCATAGTAGATGAGCTGAATGCCAAGGTAAGGAGGCCTGCAGTGCCAGTTTCTGCTGCACTTGACCCATGAGAACAAGCCTCCGGCCCCCTGTCATTCGTGGTGTGCTTCACTGAGTGATAGTGGTTGTAACAAGACCAAGCTGCCCTCATTAATATAATAATAATAATGCTGATACTGTGCTGTGTATCCCAGTTGTAATCTTGTTACGGCTGCCAAACTGGTAGTCACATTCCCTTCAGTGGTTTTACTTTAAAGAAATTAGGGGGTTATGGGGGAAAAAGTAAAAGTAGAATAACATCCTTTCTTTCAAAGTCCAAAATCAATTTGGAACGGGGATTGGGGAGACAGGAGGCAGAGATTTGGGCATCCTTGCTGTGTCCTTCTGGAGGTGGGAGGGCAGAAGTAAAGCCACTGAAGGGGAGGCGTCCTTCCTTCCAGCCTCCAGCCAAGGTCTCACTGGGATTTATTTGCAATCTGGACAGTGTAGTGGATGGAAATGGACACCTTGTCTGTTTGTTTTTAAGAATTAGATTTGGTGGGGCGCCTGGGTGGCTCAGTCAGTTGAGTGCCCGGCTTCAGCTCAGGTCATGATCTCACGGTTTGTGAGTTCAGGCCCCGCATCGGGCTCTGTGCTGACAGCTCAGAGCCTGGAGCCTGCTTCGGATTCTGTGTCTTCCTCTCTATCTACCTCCTCCCCCACTCACACTCTGTCTCTCTCTCTCTGCCTCTCAAAAATAAACTAATAAAAAGAATTTGATTTGGTCCACATTGTCATCTCTACAGCAACCTAATTCAGAAAAATTAGTTTAGAAATGTATTCATAATTGAAGTTGGTAATTCAGATTGAATAGGTTTCCTGTGCTGATAGTGTAACAGCATACTTGTTATACATCTAAGTAGGCTTCAGGTAGATCTTACTGAAGGACTAGGATGTTCAGATAGAAAGTGCTTTATTTCCTGATTCAGCAAGTCACACATTAACAAGTGTTTTTCTCTTTTAGCTTGCTCTTGAGAAGTATGAGGAAATGTTTCCAGCCTTTACTGATTCAAGAGAATGTAAGTTATTGAAAGTAAGTAACATCACAATTTGAAGAAGAAAAACAGTCTTTGCTGTCAGGTGGGATTGGATCTGAAGTGAAGTTCTAATTCTGTGAGGAGCGCTGGCATTCTCCTGCCTTTGCAGAGTGGGTCTCAAATGCCACCAGAGTCAAAGACGGAAGCATTGTGTTCTAACCCAGGCAGCTCGGAAATGTTAGCCCAAAAACTGGGTCCCTGCCTTAGGGTAGCTCTTGGCTTACATTTGAGTATTTCCTCAATTCTGTAAGGCGTTTGGCAACATCAGTTAATGTGATACTAAGGCTATTTCTATATTTGAAGTATCTATTCATGGGTGGAACTGTTTAGCCTATCAAACTAACCTTTCCATACTTACGCTACCAGAAACTTCTAGAAGCTCATGAAGAACAGAACAGTGAAGCTTACACTGAAGCAGTAAGTTATGTGTTTGGGATACAGTACATTCTTTGAAGTTTAAATTACAGAAACTTCTTTTCCTTTTCTTGTATAAATGCTTTGGAACGGGGATTGGGGAACATTTGTTTGAACATTTATCCAATATACCCAAGTTGTATTTTCCAAAGGTCATGTTTTATATATCCCACAAACCTTTACAATTAGTTTCATTAGCCATGCTGACTTTAGCTGGGAGACAAATTTAAGAGAGAGTATCATAAACTGTTACACTTTGCTATTTTTATGTTTTCCTTTGAAAATACCTGATCCATAAATAACTAAAGTAAAATCAGTTAAATATAGCTTAAAATATAAAAACAAAGCAGTGAGAGCTTGCTATATTCTTGGAATAAAAAAATGGAAGACTTTTTTTTGTGCTCATTAGTTTTCTATTTTCCCATCTTTTGCCATCTTGTGTTTAGAATCCAGCAGATTTCTCAGTATCCTCCATTAATTTATTCATCATGGCTTTGAAGTGATAGTAGAAAGGAATATTTTCCCATTTAACTTTTGCTACCAAACCATCACATGCTGTTGAGATATCACTCTTTGGTAATGCGTTGAAATGAGTTAAAGGGATTCTGCTTTCACATGTTCTGTGTCTGCAAGCACATTCATGCATGCAACACCAGTAATTTTCCACATTTTCTTCTTATACACAGTCTCATTTCCTTTGTGACATGACGTACGCTCTTCCAATTATAAAGGTGGTTAGGAGTTTAGCATGTTAGCATACAGAGCAGTATAAAAAAGCACAGGAATTTGTCGCTAGCTCCACCAAAATAGTCCTAGGATAATGAAAAAACGTACTATTTTTAAAGATGAAAGTTATAAACTGGAATGAAAGGTTTAAATGAAAAAAAGTTGGAGGATTATCACTGGAAATATTTAAACAACCTGGGGCATTATTTTTTTGTGTGTTTGGTTGTATTTCCATGGAATAATTCCTGTTCCTCTTTCTTTAAACTAGGTGAAGGAATTTGACTCAATATCTCGCTTGGATCAGTGGCTTACGACCATGTTGCTTCGTATCAAAAAGTCCATCCAAGGGGATGGAGAAGGAGACGGGGACCTAAAGTGAACATTATGTCTTTGTGGCATGCAGCTGACTCCTCTTTAGTTTCATGTTAGGGCCACATGATCTTTATGGGATGCCCATTTAATGGCTTAATTCTTTGCATATGAGCCAAACCATGTGTGTGTGTATGTGTAAGCTCCCTGTGTTTGTCTTTGTGAAGCAGACAGCTGGGAAGGTCCTGTGCATTTCGTAGGTGTGATAGGCTATTCCATGCTCACTGGAGCCCCCAAGGTTTTTTGAGAACCACTTTACAATCTTATTCCTATCATTTTGATATTTGCAGAGCCCATGTTTAACTTTGCCACGTATTTTGATGTCATTTTCTTGGACTGGAGTACCAAACCTAATCATGGTAATAGATGCTTTGCCTGTTTTCTATAAATTCGTACCTGGATGTATTCTCTAAATGTACATGTTTAGTTCAGGATGGCTGTTAGGGATGAGTTTTATGACTTCACTTATTAGAAATTGTTTATTTGTTGTTGTGATTCTTATGATGGTGCTAGTGACCAGTGTGTTTGCTTTTTATATTGTTGTATTTGCTGATGTGCATGCGGAAATTCAGAACATCCAGGGTCTGTCAGCAGCGCTGACTTACGTTGTGAGAAAAGGGAGCTTCCTGGCAGGGCTTGCTTACGTGTATGGGTGGATGTCAGGGTGAGTTTGACCAATTTGTACTCACTCACACATGTAAGATCTATAAGAAACAATTTTTCCTTTTCCTGGAATTTGTTTCCACTTTTTGTTGGGGTGGAATCCTTTCTTTATATTCACATAAATGTGATTCAATTGGCATGTCCCTTTTATTTTCATGTTCAGATACTTGCCCACGTTGAGATGGTGCCTGCTGTGCCCCCGCCATGTGATTCCTCATCCGAGCTGGGTTTTATCTAGGTCAGAGCTTGAGAGAACCGTCATTATTTTACCCATTTGTTGAATGTGTTGGGTTAGGTGGGGTAAGTACAGGTACAGGGGTTTACTGTGTGTCCAGTTAGGGAAGAAGGCCAACCAGCTTCTGAGGAGGATCGATTTGCCTCTCGGTTGATGGAGTTGTTTGAGCTTGTATATTTTAATTTAGTTGTATCATTTTGGTTTACATAATATGTGCTGTAATGACTTATAAGCTTACATTCTGTGGCTTTAGACATGCTCTTATTTCCTGAATCTTCTCTGTGCGTATTCTTATGCTTAAATGACTTAAGTTTGATATGCATTTGTTCCTAGACTAGTTTAGGGGTCTTTCTAAATTATGCTGCTGTCTTTAAATACAGATAATGAAATTCCCCATGTTAGGTCAGATAGTAACTGGAATTTGAAGGGTGTTTTCATTTTTAGATGTCCCTCAGCTGGGATTGGTAGGTTTTGGCTGGGCAGAAGTAGAGGGTGTGGCCAGTCCAGGGGCTGAGAGAGAAGGAAGGTATGGGGGTGGTAAGCAGGTTGGGCTGGGATGAAGGAGAACATAGCAAGAAAGGAAGTTGGAAAGGGCCAGCTGAGTCCTGGTGGTGGAGGCTGTCCTTCAGGTGGCTGAGGATTTCCTGGCTGCAGTTGTGGGGTCACCTGTGCAAGGTAGCCTGGTGGGGAGGAAGGTCAGTGATGGCTAGAGAGGAAGGTCAGAAGCCATGGTACACTCTTGCCTTTGGCCCTGAAATCTGATGAGTGTTCCTTCCTTCCTCCAAAGGTCTGGGATTCTTAGAGGAAAGAGGGCTATCACTTACGGTACAATTGAGAACATGACCCATTTGCTACTTTCTTCACTTCCTATTGGAATCTCTTATGAAGAAATGATTTGCACAGAGTGGTTTCCTATGCTCAGTCTGTTCCACAGCCAGCTGAATGCACTTGTGTGAAAGTGAGGCATGGTGAGTGCTTTCCTAGCCTGTGTCCTCAGGCTGTGAGTCTGTCCCACCTGGAGAGCATTTAAATCCTACCTGCCAGGTGCTTGTTTAATCACTAGTGTGAAGGTTTGTTTCACTTGTTGAAAGGACCTTCTGGCCTGACCACTTGAAGTAAGAACAAGATGATTTCTCTTAAGGCAATTCCTTTCCCTGCGCTCATGCCCCCTACAAGCCCTGTCTGAGGAAGTGGTGTGGTTTGTGAAAACAGTTGGAGAGTTGCTTATTTTTATTGAAGTAAACAAGTAAACGGGGATCAGTGGCTGAGTTAATTTTCTGTGTTTAATATTTACATGAAAAGAGTTAAAATAATTGTAATGGCTAGAACAGAACTGCTAGAAAATAAAAGGAAAATGAGAACAGTCCTGTTAACATTATCCAAACTTCCTTCTTTTGAAATGTCCCATCAACGTCGGGTAGTACCATGACTGAGGCCCGAGTTAGTTTTCAGGGGTTACAGAATATTCTTTATGAACAAAATATAATGAGTATTTATGTTCCAGCTCTTGTATTTTAGCAGATCAGGGGTTAGTTCATAGTCCGAGTCAGTCACAATTTCTCACAGGAAAGCTTTGCTTTTTGTGGCAACATTTTTATATAGCTTATGTGAGTTCCTCCTTTTTTTATTTAATGATTTGAAAACAGTATTTTTGCACAGTTGTGACCGTGCGTGATGACATCCCTGTAACCAAAGTGTGTGCATTTATTGTATCCTCTGATACTGTGCATTTAAAATGTCCAAATGCAAACCTTTGTGGCTTCCGTCGGAGGACCCGGCAGCACGGCATGCCACCTGCGACCCACCTGCCCATAGTGCGAGCTGTGGACCAGAGCAGGCTCCCGCCACCACGTGCTGAGCCGGCCATCGCGGGGTCTCCTCCCTTGAGCTCTCGGGTGGAGGATTATATTATGAAAACTAACCGTGTGACCATCACTCTACCTTAGCAGAAAGAGTGTGTATGTTTTACATCACCCTGTACAGAAAATAAAGTGGAAATTATGAATACTTTGATGGGTCTTTTCTAGATAAATTTAAATCAAAATTCATTTCCTTGAAGTTGTTCCCATTAAGGTTAAGGTAATGGGCATTAATATTCTCTAAGCTCTTTGAATTTCCATCCAAACACGAGTTGGGCTCTGCCCAACCTCCCTCACTTGGTGGAGGTCTGCTGCCCTGGGGCATCTCTGCCAGCCGAGGCTTCGGCAGCAGCCCTGGTTTCAGCCTGTAGATGCAGTCCCTGGATTTGCATGGTACCATCCCTCTGGCTGCCAGGGGAAGGACTCCTGCCGGCATCCCTTTAGGCCACAGTCACTTGCCAAGTGCAGGGAGAGCATGTTCCTAGAAGACTGTTGTCGGGGGAGGTGAGGAACTCTGAAGCCCCTCACCTCTGTGCAGTGTGGGTGTTCATGTCACTCTGCAAATGTCTATACAGGGACAACACGTGCTCCTGGGGAGGAGCAAGCCCATGGGCCACTCGGGCCTCAAGTTCTGGGGAGTAAGAGGATGCCCTTGGGGACGAGGCCTCTTGCAGACCGGCTCCTCCCCTCCGAGAAGAGTGGTCAGGTCCATAAGAATATTCACAACAATTTAAAGAGAATTCAAAGCAAATTTTTAAAAATGAATGGCAGAATAGGCTGTCCAGCCTAGGCATTCTTAGTTGTTGATCATTCTGGTTTAGTTCTCATTCAGGTGTCTCTCCCCAGGACCCTTTCCTAACGGGAGCTTCTGTGGTAAGGGTCCCTGTATAGACTGGCAGAGGTTATGTGGTGGTTTCTGGGGTTCTGCTAGGATGATCTGCCAGGTGGCCCTTGGAGCCGTTTGTAGCCTGCCCAGTTCTGTACGCCCACCTTGGTACAGGTGTACAAATGGCCCTTTGTGTGAGTGCCCAGGACCTGTATTCCCCATCAAAATAATACTGTTAACTTCCAAGTAACATGAACACCATCGAGTTCGGGAACAAGCACTCATTTGGTCTCAGAAAATGTCCGTGGTGTGGCAAGGTTTAAGATTTTAATGGGTTAGAACTAAATTATAACTTACACTCAAATCTGTTGGATTATCACCTATAGCAAAACCACGTTTCTGTTAAAGTCAACTTTAGTGTAAAGGTCTTCCCCACCCACCACCACCACCACATGGCTTTCTTTTTCAAATTCTGTACAGCAAATTTTGGTAAAAGCAAAGGCAACAGAGTGCTTGGGAGTTTGCACTGGGAGTATTTCCCACAAATGTTGGGAAGGCAATAAATCATCCCCTTGGTCACCTTTCATGATGCTCTGGGACAAGCAGCACCAGCACCCAAGACACTTTCCTAATCATGCATTTGGGACTGACATACTCAGAGGGTAGCCTTGCTTTTTCCCAGCAAGACTGTACTTGGGTTAAGAAATTGCAACACCCCACAAATCCCGCTGTGCTGGATCTTCTACAAGGTTTTTTCATTTTTCTGCTCTCCCAGGCAGCCTTACCGTCCTGGGAAGACAGAAACGGGTCTAGTTGGAGACGCATCTGTGATGGGAACTGTAACATCACACTGAAGAGGCCTCTGTGCAGACGCCAGAGCCCTGGCTGCTCGAGCTACCACCCCTGCATGCCGAGGCCAGCATCCCTCACAGCCAGGTGTTCACGTGGAGAGTGCATATGCAGTGCAGATAGTTACGGAGACAAATCCTAGGACTACAGTCCCCAATTTTGAATTTCATTACCCATGAAATGAAGAAAATATTTGTTTCAATTAAGTATCTTATTTCTACAGAGCCTAAATTCTAATAGCGGAAATAAACTTCAGATTTGCAAAACTTTTTACAAAGCAAACATTTATTAACACAGTAAATGACTTTTTGTAGAATTTCTAAAGAAACAAATTCAAGACAAAATTTCTTCCAGTAGGTAACAAAATAATCTATTATTTAAATTCCTTCTCATTAAGATGACTTTATCCCATGAAACAGTACATCAGCTGGGCAGGCTCATTCTCTTACCGAGAACAAAATTGGTTGTGTGACATCACTTTTATTCTATAAACACAACCACGATATGTTATCATTGAAAATTCAGTACTGTGATTTTCAAGAGCAAGTGTGAAACATTTTATCAGCACCTAAAACATCTCCGAGTGGCTTTCGTGTTTAACATGTCACAAGTTAGAACAAAGTAAGCATTTAGGGAGAATGTCTTCCTGCATTAGTCTCTGGCATAGTGCAGGTGTGACTTCATTCTGGAACTCAGGATAAACTGCCTTTCTCTTAGAAAGTGTGTATGTTTTCACAGCAAGTTTAATAAATTAAAATGTAGGAAAAATAGCAACTAATAAAAGAATTCTTCAGGGTTCTCTTTTTAAATTAGCATGTTTAGGGTTACACATGAATCAAAGCACTTAGCGTGTGGCAACATACCCAAGCCACTGGAACCAAGGTCAGGCTTAGCAAATACAGCAGAGTTATCTTCATTGCAAATTCATTTTGAGCAAAAGGCCAGCACGAGTCAGCCTCAGAAGCACATAAGACAAAGTTACTGGTTCTTCACAATCCACTCTTAAGGCATAATCAAAGACAAGTTCCAAACCTTTGGTCCCTTCTGCTACATGCTCACGTGCTCCCAAAGAAACTCTGGGAATTACTTGTCTGTGTCAAGCTCTTGATACATGAATGAGAAATTCTGGGTTTCTGAACATCACGGAGTCAGTCAAGAATACCTAGCAAAAAATACTAACACTCTGTGTTCTAAGATGTGCCAGACTACCTCACTGCTACTTGTGAATAAAAGGACTACATGATGTTTCAAGTGTTCTAACTCCTCTTGCTTAATCTTTTACACCTCTGTAAAACAACTATACCATTTGCTGCTAGAATCTTTGGTAGGACAGCTTTTACCTAATCATATTTTAGGAATGAAACCCACCAGCCACATTTCATTTTAGCAGTTATTCCAGGACCGATTTCCTAGCTGCATATGTGCTGTAAGTAGAGAGTATACTAAGCCATTCTGCAAGCGTTCAATTTGTCATTTCTTCTTCAGTGCCTACAAAACAAGAGGTGGAAGGGAATGGATGCAACTGTCCATTTCTTCAGTCCCATTCAAGGGTCCCCAGAGCAAATCAGACTTGCTTCAGTTCAATAGGAAAGAGTTGAAAACATGGTCCCAGTTTTATTTCAGCTTAATAGCCTAAAGGTATCAGAGTAATAAACCCATACTGAAGTGTAAGGCAGGCTGAGAGACCAGGGAGACCACGAACACTAACTTTAAGAGCTGGGCCAGGGCTCTGGATCTATAGTTATGTAGTTGTCCAAACTTCATACACATCAAGACAAGCAATAGAACGGTTATGCATACAACCTGCACCAGGATTAAGTGAGGTCATGTTAACTGCCTTGTTTCTTGATCAAGTGTAGCTGAGGTCATGCAGACTGGGATTTTTAAGGGAAAGCTCTAAAAATGCTTTGATAAAGACGTGCAAGTTAGCAGAGATTCAGGAAAATGTGCAGAAGCTATTCTTGCCCATTTTGCCCACACAGTTCTTGGTCTTGGCCCCCGATGCTAACTTGTGTACAGTGATCACTCACACAGAGACGCAGCGTAGGATCTGCTTGGCAGGTGACTCCAAGCTTTCATTCCATGTTGGTGAGAGAGTGAAGCTGTGTGGGCATCGGGTCTGTCTGTGGAGTCAGCTCACTAAGCTCACTGATGGTGGTGGCCAGCAGAGCGTCCTGAGACACCACAGAATCATCTGACTTGCAAGCCGTGTCTGCAGAACTGTTCTCGTGCACGGCAGGTACACTAGCTTGGACTGTGGCTAGGTTGTGAAAATGGCCATTTTCTGCAAAAGACAGCAATTTATCTGAAAGTTTGGATGGTGTGTATTCTTCGTCCGGCTGTTCAGTCTTGTGTGTGTCATCATTCTTGGGTGAGCCATCTACAATAACAAGGAAAGACTTCCATGGAGTATTCTTATCATGTATCTACGAATCAAACACAAAACAAAAATCACAACGTGTCTCTGAACAAGTACATCTTTTACATTTTTTTTAATGTTTATTTATTTTTGAGAGAGAGAGGCACAGAATCTGAAGCAGCTTCCAGGCATTCAGCCTAGAACCTGATGAGGGTTCAAACCACGAACCGTGAGATCATGACTTGAGTGGAAGTCAGACACTTAACTGACTGAGCCACCCAGGCGCCCCAAGAACAAGTACATCTTTTAAAACAATGGTCTCTTTTCAACTTAATTTTGCTTCTACCACAACAAAATACCCTTTCACTAATGGCCAAACATCTTTCTACCACCACTGTTACTGTTAGGAAGTACTTATCATAGATTGTGCCTTTAGAGTCCTGAAACTCAGTTCTTCATTCACACTGGGAATGTACACCCTGAAGAGAAAACCTGAAAAGGAGAGACCTGTCGTCTTCTATAACCACCTTATGGAACGATGGCCAGCATTTCTGACTGTCTAGAGTTAAGGGTACATGGGGCCCAGAGATTTGTCATTCCGAAGCTACAGTACTGCTTACCGAGGTGTGCCGCCGCAGAGTGGACTTGTCAGTAAACGTCCGCCCGCACGCGTTACACATGAATGGCTTCTCCCCTGTGTGGATGCGATGGTGACGCTGGAGAGCGTTGAGCTGGGTAAACTGCTTACCACACTGGTCACAGCAGTAAGGACGTTCCCCTGAGACAGAAGAGAAGAAAACCACTGGTTCATCTCTCCAGCCTACTGTACTGAATTCTGATACACTCTGGAATCATGCCCACTAGAAAGTATCAGCAGAGGGGCGCCTGGGTGGTTCAGTCGGTTAAGCGTCCAGCTGATATTGGCTTAGGTCATGATCTCACAGTTCCTGGGATCAAGCCCTGCATTGGGGTCTGCGCTGGCAGCATGGAGCCTGCATGGGATTCTTTCTCTCTCTCTGCCCCTCCCCTGCTCGCCCTATCTCAAAATAAATAAACTTTAAAAAAAAGAAAAAGAAAGAAAGAAAGCATCAGGAGGAAGGCTACGCTGGGAACGACCAGAGAGTCGACTGATAAGTACAAATCTATCCCTCGAATAACAGGAGTTTATGGCCTACACCCAAAGAGAGCCAAAGCCAAAAGCTGGTATTACATCTACAGAAATTCACCTGTTTTCCACAGTAACGGAATATAAAATTCCAAGTCCCACTGAAACTGAATTTGTGCGTGTGTGTATACACTAACATGTAGATCATTACCCCAAGTTCAAATGTCTACATATCCACATCCACGATTCAAACATTCATACCTTTTCAGTTTGTCAGAGGCAGAAACTAGAAACTCAGAAATTTAAAAATGCTATCACAACACACAAAATAATGCTCAACTCCAAATAATTTTCTAGTGAATCTAAAGCCTTTGGGATATTATTCTTGCCACACTGAACTCCCTTCCTTGGCTACATTCCAGCCATACCTGTATGGACTTTAATATGCTGGTAGAGCGAATTCCGTTGGGCAAAAGTCCTGAAACAAACTTCACATTTAAAGGGTTTGGATCCAGTATGGATTCTATTGTGATGTTTTAAATACTCCTTAGAAGCAAAACTCTTGCCACATGTTTCACACATAAAAGGTCTTTCACCTACATGAAAAGATGAAACAGAAAGTTAGAAATGATACAGGCACCAGAACACTCTAAGAGTTGGCCCACACTCTAGATCACCTATGAACTCGAAAGTGCCGTGCTGGGCAGCACGTTACATCTTCTAGTTAAAACTGTCATAAAACACCTATTTGTGTAAGATGTCTGCTATCTGCTGAAAGTTCACGTAAAATACACTTGGAAATCCCAAGAAGGATTCCACTAGCCTAGAATTAGATCATTCAGTCAGACCACATTTTGGAAATTCAGTCATTCCAAACAAATTTTACAACTTGTTTGGGGGAACTGTTGGATTTTGCAAAGCAGCACTCCTCTGGCACTTTATCAGGACAAAAGTCCCCCTTGGGAGGATAGGAAGTTTACATGGCTACGTATGCACAGCTGCTCTCAGGCAGCAACTCCCATCAACCTGGACTAGAGTACATAACAAGAGAAAAATGTTCCCACCTCATGTTGTATAATTTGAGTCTTTTAATCCCACAAATCAAACTCATCTGATTACTAGATGTGCCCCTGATTTCACAAACAACAAAATAAAAATACTGCCTTTAACAGAACCCAAATACATTACTATTTTCATCAAATGACCAGTGCTTACTTAATGATTCAGTGTAGCCTGACCTCACCTCCACCCCCAATCTTCCATGAGGCACTGATTCTCATTTCACAGTCTCAGTAATTCACATCATTAAATGCCTCGGCTCTGCTTCACCTGCATTTGAACTTGAGGCTCATATGGCAGTGTTTAGAGATAAACATTTTAAAATGCAAGCAAGTAAGAAAGAACTGGGTTAGTATGGTAACAGCAGCATACAATAGTTAGATTCTGTATTGTATACAGCAAAGTTCTGAACCTCAGGATTACTGTGCTGAATTTGAATAAAGCCAACTTACATTTTCTGCATCACATAATAAAATCACATCACAAAAATTTTAGAAGATAGAAATGAGATAATCCCACTACCTAATACATCATAGAAATTTGTTTTCATCTAGTCTCTTATGTGCAGGTTTTCAATGTAGTTGGGATTAGCTGTATGCATAATTGTGCGTTTTCCAGTCCACATCCGGGCACAGGCGTTTTTCGTAACGTTCAGAGCCCTGAGAGCCGCCCCATCAGGAGCCGGCAGGAGATGGATTTACCAGTTTACTGGACCACTTCCTTGTGGATGGACAATCAGGTTGTTTCCAATGCTCTGTTATTACAAAGAGCAAGTAGGTGGATGACAGCATATAGTTTTTTCCCATATTTTGAACAATTTCTTCAGGACAGATTCCTAGAAATGGAATTTTGGGCTAAAACACTAGGAACTGTTTCATACCTCATCATATGTAAGACTCCCTTGCCACCTTCCACTTCCCAGTGTGCACAGGCCGCTACCTCAAGCACGCCAGCACCAGGGGCAGAGGCATATTTTATTTACTCGTTTTTGCTCACTTATGAGATGGAAAAGCTATATCATGGCCTTAGCCTGCACCACTTTGGGAGATGCCAACTTCTAAATTAAATGGCAGTTTCTTCTACAGCTACAAAGACATTCAATCACAACAGCATTGAGTATTTACCTGTGTGACACCTTTTATGATAAATCAGCATGTGGTTCTGAGTGAATCTTGCACCACATTCATCACAGACAAAAGGTTTTTCCCCTGTATGAATTCTGAAAGTACAACATTCAGATGATAACTTAGGATGTATCTCAAAGCCGACTTTGCAATACAATTTCCACTGTAGCCTGCAAAGGTGGTTATTCCAAGAGACCAAATGAGAATGGCCTAAGTGGAAAGACACAGGCCCGTGACCTCTGTCCCCAGATCCATTTCCAGCAGGGGCCAGCAGGCTGCCGCACTTCCCCGGGGGGAGGGGCGCGGAACAGCCCCTCACCGCCCTCTGGTTTACACTGCATAGCTGGCAGACATGCACCTCTGCACGCTTTCTTAACTACTGAATGGTGCTGGGCCACATTTGTATAAAGCTTCCTCGTGAGAGTGATCAACCACAGACACCTTGGGGACCACGGCTGACAAAGCACCACATGATCAAAAATGACCGGTCCAGAAAGAACAGTTCTCAAAATGCTGAAGAAGCCTGGTTTCCGAGGAGGACACCTCAGCATTTTAGTTTCCCAACTAGTGTGTAGTAACCATCGACCACAACTCCCTAAGCACTTCCTAAGCCAAGTTTTTAAACTTCTCACATAGAGTAAAAAGACAATGAATGCCATGTGACCACCCCAAAGACTGGCCCCGGCCTGACAGCTGGTCTGTACTACAGGAGAAACTGCTTGTCTGGATTTCAAGCATAAACAGTGAGGCCTGGAAGGACACCTACTTAAAAACTGGTGTACCCCACCTACACTTTGGAAACTATGAACAGAAAACACTGTCCTGATTCTGGAGGTTGGGCTAACCAACAGCACACTTTCCAAGCCCAGAGAACAAACACCTAAGACCAAAGGAATGTCTTAAAGCCCTAAACGGCCTTTCACTGAGGTCATTAGTGGGACCATGGGACCCAGCTGGTCACAGGCCCAAGTTCTAAATAAACAGTCAGGAAAAGAGCAATGAAGGTGATGAGCTCAACTGCCCCTCAAGCATGGTGGCACTGTAAGTTCCAGGGGCTACTCTGAGATCAGGATAGCCTGGCCTGCATGGCTGCAGAACCAGACTGGTAGACCTGGTGTTCCCAGTGGCCTCGGCCTGGGTGGGCCAGGGCTCGGTGTCCAGGCCTCTGTGCTGGCACTGGGCACAGGGCGAGGGGGACAGCCATCAGCCTGGGACCTGTAGGAAGGCTGAATGAAAAGACACCTCTACTCAGGAAGAGAATTCACAGAGGTCCGAAAGCAGCCCCCCAACTTCTAGAGGGCACAGATTAAGATACAGAATGTTCTAGATGTGGCCACACTGGTCAAACCCTGGAACCACCTCAATCTCTCGACACCTGTCTCCAGAACATCAAGAGGCTGCATCCCAGGTAAAAAGCACCCTTGCAGCGGCTTCAGCTGGTGGCCGTGGCCCTACCTCATGTGGGTCTTCAGCGCCGAGGGCTGAGAGAACTTGGCCTCGCACTCGGTGCAGCCATACGGCTTGTGGCCCGTGTGCGTCCGCTCATGCAGCCGCAGCGCCGTCTTAGAGCTCAGGCCCTTGCCGCACTGCTGGCACTGGTGTCGCTCGCCGCCACCCTCGTGCACCTGCACCACGTGCCGCTTGACGTCCTTCTTCCTCTTGAACTTCTTGCCGCATAGCTCGCATGGGAAGTGGCGCTCGCTGCTGTGCACGTGGCGCTGGTGGCTCTTGAGGTTGCAGCGGTTGGCAAAGGTCTGGCCGCACGTATCGCAGCGGTGAACCACCTCAGTGGCCACTCCGTGATGGTGCCGGATGTGCTTCAGGAAGCTCTTCTCATAAAGAAAGGCTTTCTCACAGATAGTGCATTTGAAGTTGCTCTTCCTCTTCTCACCCTCCTCATCCTCGTCCTCGTCCTCCTCCCGACGGCCTGCGTCCTCCCGGCCACCCACTTTTGGCAGCACCTGCACTGCCTCCACTGCCGTGCCACATTCTTCATGTTTTGTGACGGGCTCCATTTCTGCACCCATGGCATCCGGGTTAGGGTCCTGGGGGCTGCAGTAGTCCCCCATGTTGTCCTCGGCACTTCTCTGCTGCTCCCGGAGCCTTCTTGTGTATTTCTTTTTAGGGATTTCCACAAACACCTTTCTTCCAGCCAGCCTTCCACTGGCCCTTCTGATTTTTGGGTAGGGAGGCTTGACTGCATCTTTTTTCTTGTCTGGTTTCTCCTTGGACTTCCTGGGGGGCATATCTGGCAACACACCATTGCTGATTGTCTCTGCTGGGGGATCTGAGGAATCCCCGAGGCCGTTAGCAAGAGGACTGTCCACAGTGGGACTTGCCCTGGGGTCAGGGGCAATGGTGGCTTGGGAGCCACTACTCCCTTCTGCCTCCTGTGACTCGGAGAAGTTCTGCAACTCCAGAAGTACCGACTCTAACATCTGCTTCTTCAACTGAAAACAAGTTTCCGATAAGTCCAGACATTTCAGTTTCTCGGCCATTTCCAGCATTCGCTGCACCCGATCTTCCTCTACCTGTACCTTCGCAGTGTAGACAAACTCAAGAAATGAAGCAAAGTCAACAACTTGCACTTCATTTAGGTAGACATTAGTCCTCGTACCATCCACAGTCTTCTCGTTAAGAAACATTTCTTTAAAGAACTTGCTGGTGGCTGCCAGCACAGCCTTATGAGCCATGAACTCTTCGCGGACACCCTGGTACTCCACGCTGACAGTCACATCACACAGGTGACCAAGAAGGCGCAGCTGATGCATTTCATGCAGAAGGTTGAATGGTGAGGATTTGGATTCCAGCAGAACTGCACCACTTTCCATGTTTCTTCTTGCCAAAAACAGCTCTGAAAACAGAAGCAAGAATTATTCATGCATGAGCAACCACTAAAGCAAAAGGATTAAAAATTAGAATTATTTCAGTTCTCTAGAGGATAGGAGCTGATTAACAACCAAAACCCAACTTTCCTCACATAAAGATATAAATCACACCACATTTTTTAAAAAGCTTATTTATTTTTGAGAGAGAGAGCATGAGCAGGCTAGGGAAAGAGAGAAAGGGAGAGAGAGAGAATTCCAAGCAGGCTCCACACTGTCAGCACAGAGCCCAATGCAGGGCTCAAACTCACGAACCATGAGATCATGACCTGAGCCGAAATCAAGAGTTGGACGCTTAACCGACTCAGCCACCCAGGTGACCCCAAATCATACCACTTCTTAGCGGGTTTCTAAAGTGAAGTTTTGATGTACCCTCATAAGATAATATTTAATGAAAGAAATACTACTAAGATTTCTCCCAGGGATAACCATAAATGACGAAAGTGAGGCCTAATGAAATATATTCTGGCAGGAACTTGCATACCTAGAACATTTTCTACCTTCCTTATAGACCCAGACCTCAAAACTGTAATAGAATTTACTGCAACAATAATGTCTAGCTCTTTGACTAGGAAACAAAATAATTAAAACAAAACACATGGCTGCCACTGAGAACAAATCTTAGAGAATCATGTCTGCCTTTGAAAACAACCAACTAAATAACTACTTTCCATGAGGAAAACTTCATGGAAAAGCAGTCCATAATCCATGGCCATTTCCAGCACCCCTAAACACCTCATAATTTGAATTCCTATCACTTTATGAGAATACTTTCAGGAGCTGTGCTAGTGACCAAGTAACTTAATTTCTCTAAACTAAATACAGTCTGCTCTTTTGTAGAAGATTGCCAGGCCATGGGAGGCTTCAGTGAGTACAATCATGTCAAGTGCTTACAAGCGCACCTGAGACTTGTAAGGTACTTGCTACTGGCTTCCTAGGCCTGGGTGTTACTGTTATCCCCATTTCACAGAAGAGGAACAAGGTAAACCTTGAGACTGAGGTTTGAGGCTAGATCTGGTGGAACTGACTTGCACTGAAACTGCTCAGCAGGCCCCTCGCTTCAGCCATGCCAAATGCAAAGAGCTGCTTTTCCTCCCTAGGTTTTTCCACAGCTGTGGATGCTGCAGATTTCACCCCCACCCAGAGGTCTTCTCTCCTTGGCTTCCATGGCACCCCACACCATCATGGGTCACTTCTGCTTGACTGGCACTACTCTCTTCTCACACTATGTGCTTTCTTCTCATAGAAAGCTTATGCTCCTGAATCTCCCTTCCTCTTCCCAGTATGTTTTAGTTCCTAAATCTCCAGCACCCATCCAAAGTACCTGTCCTCCTTCAGCCAGATCTTAGATGTCATCTCAGACTCAGCATGTCTAGAGCAGAACTTGTCTTCATCTTCCCTGGAAAACCAGCCTGACCTCTCTTCACTTCTCTATTCCCACCAGTGATACTGTTTCCAGTACCTGACACTACAATTGGCTCCCTACAAACACCAGCCCCCCACAAACATGAAAAAAGACTGCCCTCTGAGAGTTCAACTGTAACAAGAACATCCAGGAAGCCTGAGCACTCACCTGAAAACACCGATAAGCCTAGGTAAAGGGTTATGGTGTTGGGGGGAAGGGGGGGGAACAATAGGCCAAGGACTGTCATGCATTCCAGCCCCAGCCTTGGAGAAACGGCTGCAGAGGGCTTTCTCAGCATGATGCCCATACTCACCAGCAGCCCTCCACTTTCCCAAACCTCTGCCAAACGGCACCTCGGGCAGACGTGTGAACATAGAGGCGGCCTGATAGTAATTTCTGAGTCTATCAACAAAGTGATTTCTGAGCAAGATTTCCCATCCTGTCTCAGCACAGGAAGGAAAGGCAGTGATCATGGCGACAGGAATCCTCCGGCCTGGGTGACAGCTGCATCTCCCACTGTAATTGGATGGCACCCGGCCGCATCTCCGTCTGGAGCATCGCGCTCTAGCCGGCGGCTCTCCGAGGCCCCTCCGCACTGGGGAGGGTGCGGCGCTCCCGCCCAGCCGCGTCCGGGTGGGCATCGCGCTCCAACGGAGGACGCCCCCGCCTCCTCCGCCCCTCCGCCCAGCACACTTCCGAGGGAGGGACACACGCCCCCGCTGCAAATGGACTCGGTGGTTGCTGGGCCGCGGGCGTCCACGGCGCCCGCGTGACCGGGCCTGGACCTCCGACTCCCG